CCCCTGGTGGGCTGAGCTGGCCACACACACACACACACACACACACACACAAATAAAAAAAATTTAAAAAAAAAATTTATCTTTTAACCAATGCCCAAACTATTGGGGCTGTCTTCCAAGAGGCTATGGAGATTACTGGGGGCTCCATATTAGTAAACAAATGTTGGTCACTCCTCTATTCACCAATTAGAGTCTTGTCCAATAATCTCTCCCTACTCTAAGGAATTTTTGTTAATTATCTTAAATTTTTTTATGACCTGTGAGTAAACCAATTTTGATATCACTTAGATCAACTGGTAACTCAGGAGGAGAAAGCATACTTTTAAGTCTATGTCCCAAATTGTATTATGAATGAATGATCAAAAAAGAGAAAAACTTTTGAGCTCAATGAGGAACAGTTGTTCACGGAATGACATACAAACACATAAACAAATACACAGAACACACGGACAAATATCTTTATGAAACCAGAATGCAAATATATTATTGACTAAATTGAATTATAGTAACTGTTATAATTTTTAGAAACTTATTATCATAGATAGACTCGCTATATTTTGTTGCTTGTCACTTAGCAGGGATCTCATCAAAAAATTTGTAAGGAATAGAATCTTTCATCTAGAATTAATATCTATTTTTGTATTTTATTTTGTCTTAAGAATACTGTAAATTTCAGCTCGGTTATCTCTATACACTCAGTCACCTATTTCGACCTTAGATTTCCATTTTGTCAGTTCTTTCAGTAGGCCACAGGCTGGATCTAGCCTCATTGCTGCTAACTTCTTCTTCTGATCTGGCTTCATGGTCCAGCCTGACAGTGTATTCTGGTACCCGAATAAGTTGTTTAGCATTCTCTGGAAGAATACAAGCATACATTCTGCCCTAGGTTAGTAGTGGACTGGGTCCCTTCCATTATCCAGTATAGAGCTCTCTCCAAAGGACTCTCCCTTATCTTTTTCCTCTTATGTGACGAAATTGTCTTTCTGCTGCTGTACTTTCAACTTTTGTAGAATTTAAAAAAAAAAATGATAGTGTGTATTGACAAGTGAAGTGGGAAGGACTGAGTTCCTCTTCTTTTGTAATTGAATTTTGATTTTACAAAATGTGGAATGGCCCCCGTATATTGTATTTTCGAATAGGAAGCCTTCACATAGCCTCCCTTAACCTAATAGGTCCTACCTATGAAAACAAGAAAATTAATCTAACTTATATGAAGGACAATGATAGTCAGTAACACCAGAAAAATTAGCCCCAAATCTTGATGGAGCCAATTAACATTCCCAAATAAAGTCTGCAAATCATTTTGGGTTTATCTGATCAGTGTGAGACACAATATATCTTTGTTGAATAAGTTGACCCAAATATGAACAAGTTTTTATAGCTTATACCCTTTTGGAAGCCAGCACTAAGCCCACCACCATTTAAATGGGGTGTCAAAGTTAAGTGACTGTTTAAACCCCACTGTTTTTACATTCCATTCCAAATCTTTTTTTGTTTGTTTGTTTGTTAAATATCAAAACTTCTTTATACCAGTTTTAATTTAGGACTGTAAAACAAGCAATCAACCTTATTAGGAATCAAAAGAATTTTAAGCAATCTTTTAAAATATCTCCATTATTGTAAGTTGTAGAAAATATGATTTTTTTAATTTATTTATTTGTGTGTGTGTGTGTGTGTGTGTGTGACCAGCTCAGCCCACCAGGGGGCGGGGCTGGCTGGCATGTGGTGCTGGGGATTGAACCGTGGTCCCTGGGCTTTGCTAAGCTTGTTCTAAGTAGGTGTTTTAGACCACTGAGCCATCTCACCAGCCCCGAAAATATGATTTTTAAGGCAAACTTTTTATCTTTAGCATGGAAACCACCCTTTACCTTGTGGGGAAAAATGTAATGGATTGTTTTAGGGTCGAGTGTAATGGAACCACTCCATTTCCTGCTTTTCATTTTCTTTCTTTTTTTAAATGTTAATTTTTTCCCTTGTATTTTTTATTTTTTTTTTTTTTTTTTTTTTTTGCGGTTCTGGGAATTGACCTCAGGCCCTTGCGCTTGCCAGGGAAGTGCTTATTCTACTGAGCCGTCTCCCCAGCTCCTCCCTTGTATTTTTTAAAAAATTCATTTTAAAGAGAGTATAATAATTGATAAACATTAGACATAGTATTTTCTGCTTTTCTACAAGGCTCAGTTCCTGGCAGAATGGGCTTTTGTATCCCCCTCCAGGTCAGCAATCCAGCATCTTTGTTCCTGCAGACCTGTAGCTGCCCTACCTGGAGGACATCCTCACTTGTATCTGAAAGCCCTCTAAATCTTTCCCTTAACTAGTTACTTTCTATGTTTAATGCAATAAATACTTTTATTATTATTTATAAATTTTAAATTTTTGCCAAATAAAGAATGATCAATTGGGTGATGTGAAAGTCTGGAGTAATTTAAACAGTGTTTGGAGTAGCCTGAACTATAACCTAGAGTCCCCTGTGTGATCAGCATGATGACGCTGAGCAGATCCTGGCTGCCCCTTTGTACTGGGCTCTGCCTCTGGCTGGCACTTTTATTCTCTTGCCTCGGGGCTGGGCAAGCAGTTAGTCCTGGGAATGGGCTCCCTCACCCACGTGACCCTGCCCCAAGAGCAACTTGGAATGTCACTGTACAGCCACAGCTGCTATGTGTGGCTGCTATCCTTTTAGCTCTAACTGAAGGATGTTTTGGTTTTGCCTAGATTTTAGACATAGACACTATTTTGAGGTAGACAAATTTACGGTG